GGAGTTTGATGTTGCAGCTCTGGGTGGTCCAAGCTCTCTAAGAAGTCTCTCCTCAGGCAGGGTCCCAGCGATGGGGGTCAAATATCAGGCTCCAACAGAGGCCTGGTGATGCGAGTCAAAGATCCCACAGGGTGGAACTCAGGATGTTTCTGCAGGGCCCAGCACTTTCCTGCTGAGTGAGGCCTCTCTAGCAGAAGCCAGGAGATGGGAGATGGGGCTTGTCAGTCATTTTTATGTGTCCTGCATAATGTCTGGCAGACTCTCCCATGAAGCAGGAACCTTACAGTAATGCCCCATCTTGTTCATCACTTTCCCTTGGGTCATGCATATCCAGTTTATACAGCATACAGTCAAACAGTCCAGGCAAGAACACATTCTTGTCCAAATGGCTATTTCTGACATGTCAAAGGCAAACTCCATAATGAGTTTCTTCGATGCCCATCTTCCTCTCTGAAGTAATTGGTGTTGCCAGGAACTTAAGCATACTTCAAGTCACTTTTGGACTACCTAAGGAAGGCTTCTTAAGCAAATTCTTAGAGGAAAACATGAAATTAATTTCCTGACTTCTGATATAAGAGACAACTCATTAATACCTAGAATCATTAAAAATTCCCTGGACAATGGCGCCATCCTAGTTTTGTTCAGATGTAGCTATAGTCCACTTTAAAGAAGATAATTCATCCCCAGCATCCCTTAGAGTACATTGTAGGGTGAATCCTTTCCAAAGCCATTTAAGAACATATTTTTAGTCTTAAGAAAAATTAAATCAATTAAAAATCCTCCTCACTGGCTTCATAAGGAAAGCATTATATGCAGAATTATATTAAATCCTGTTAACACAGTCATACTATGTAGGCGTAATTATACAAATATAACTACAGGTGTTCAGGAAACACCATGTCCGCAACATGCTATTTGAGTAATCTGAAGCAAGAGGTATTTAGTGGGCTGTGTAAGGTCACAGTCTGAAAATAAATTTGGATCAAATTGGAGGCTACAAAGTTTACATAAAAATTTTGTGAAAAATATGTAGGAATTGGATATTACAGGAATAAGAAACAATAGAGGAGCAATCTTATTATACCATAGCTCTGTCTGTAGGTTTAGTCATTAAAAAACCTGAGTACCTGTGGAGTACTGAATATGCACTTGCAGTAGGGGTCCTCAGGATGTCAATCTCACAGGGCTGCAGACCTAACCCTGTGAACCCCTGTGTCCCTCCAGTCAGCCTAGCAACATGGATTAACTCACTGTCCATACATGGCTTAACAATTCAATGTTCAAGGGGCACCTATGTCTCTGTCAACCTTTGAAGCTACACCTTGATATATTAGTATGTAGATCTGATGATAAACTTAGGAATGCTGTACATAGTTGGTCTGTTGCTTTGTGTTTTCTGGTAAGCTCGGCAATGAGTGAATGCAGAATTTTAATTTTCACTTTGCCAATACTTCTATCTAGAAGCTTGCTGCCATTTTTGTCTTCTATGAAATTTTTGTTGCCAAGGACGATGGGATTACAGTTTTGTCTGACAGATTGAGATGGCATGTTGCATTCTTGGTTATCAAAATACTCTTGTAGCATGGGGTTTTTAGTCAGCAAATATTCACAATGTGGGGGAAAGCATGGTATATACTATATAATCTCAATTAGCTGAATGTATATACATTTGCAACATCTAGAAGGACACATCAAGCTGAGATGCTTGTGACTGGGAGACTGTTTTTGGCTTCTTGTGTTTTGTTTCCTGTAATGCAAATACTACAAAATAAATAAAAGCTTCTTTTAAAAGCTTAAAAAAACCTGAGTACCATCGAGCTACATAGATCTTTTGGACTTAGGTAGTATTAACTAGATTCTGGTCTGAGGAAAGCAAAGATTTAAAAAGTACAAAGGTATAGTGTCTCACACTGGATGGCCAGAATTCAAATTCAGATTTGCATTATTAGAAGTTATTGGGTTATTGTGCTGTATAGTTCAGTCTCCTGACACAGGTTGACATTTGACTAGAAACACATACATTTTCACATGCTGTATTTGACAGTTCTGTCACCTGGATGCAAACTTGAACCACTTTGAAAGAGAATTTTAGTGGGGAATTATCTGTATCAGGTTGCCCAAAGGGCATGTATATAGGGGAGCTTTTTAGTTGTTGATGGATGCAGGAAGACAAAACCCATTGTGGGCGACACTATTCCCTAGGAAGGTGATCCTATAAACAGCATAAACAGTGAGAAAGGTTGCTGAGAGGAGGCAGGTGAGAAGAATGCACTTGTCATGTGTCTGCCTTGGACTGAGGATGTGATGTGACTTATATGAGTTTCTGACTTTATTTGTTCAAGGTGATAGATTGTACTTGGAATTTTAGCCAAGCAAATGCTTTGTTCCTCTTGGTTGCTTTTCATCGGGGTATTTTATCACAGCAACAGAAATGAAAGTAGGAGACATGCTAAGCCTGTGCTCTATCACTGAGCATATCACCAGCCTCCAAGTGTTTAGTTTTCTAAAGTCACTAGTTGAGAAGAACTCTATTTTGAGAGATTATTATATATTGTAACCCGTCACCCCAATCTACCTTTTTTTTTAAAAAAAAATCATTTTATTCTTTCCACAATTTGCCTTTATAACTGAAAAAGTTTGCAAGTCTATCCCTGAAAATGTTTAAAAACTCTTCTTTCTTGATTTCTACTTAATTTAAACTGTTACATTATATATTTAGCTTTTTATTTTGCAATGCCTTCTAACCTCATACCTTACAGAACATGAAATGTGTGTCAGCAAGTGTTTTGAACACTCTCCCACTGATTTTGTTCATGAAGAGAAGAGGTCAATTTTGGTGGCTTTGCAAGAAAAATATTAGTTCCATGTTACAGAAAAAGAAAGTACAGCAGTATGTGGGTGTAATTGGTAGGTTTATCTCTTCCAGCAACAAAAATGGTCCTTGAGATTTCTGAAACCAGTCATAGTTTTAGTTATTTTGCTTTATTGGGACTGATTAAAATTTGGAATGAATGATGAGGCTATGTAGCACTAAAGGATGGGGCAAAATGGTAATAAATAAAAGGCATAAAAAAGAGATCACTGTTGAGGTATCAATCTCCAGTTAAAAGCAACAGAAAGGGGACTTGCTTAACAAAATATATTCATATATCAGAAGACTTAGATGGATATGTTAAGTAAGGATGGAGGAAACAATGTTTCTACTTGAAACTCCTGTGAGACTGCACAAAATGGCTAAGAGTGAAATGTGTGATTTTTGTAGAAGTTGCATGGTGTTGAACTCAGGTTATTAATACCTGGGAAGACAGAATCAATTGCTCCATGATCATTGTTACTCATAACTGGAAAATATCTATGGTTAAATCACAAATGCTGAGCACAGTGGAGGCCTCAGTGAGAGGGAAATATTAATATCAGCTAGTAGTCAGATGAAATAAATACAAAGGATTCTGCAGTGAAGCAATTGGGGTGCTCATTACAAGTGTTTGAGAACAAATGTCGACCGTGCTGCTTAAAGATGATTGAGGTAATAAATTATTTGGAGCCAATAGTGAAAAAGAAAATGGTACTTTCTTCCACTATACCAACTAATAATTCCCCATCCCATCTTTATATTGGTACCAAAGAAAGGAAGACTATGGGCATTCGTGAAATGCACCAAATACGCTGTAATAAGCAAAGTGTAAGGAAAATCATAATTGGTCTAAGGAGGCTATTTTTCAGTAGCCATATATAAAGAAGAGACACAGTCTCAAGGCTATCTTTCACTTCAGTTTGAATGATTTTGATTAAAAAAAAAAACTATTTTTCTCGATTTTTCACTAGGGCTTTGTATTAAAGACATTATGGCATAAAGTTGCTACTATGTAAAATGAAACAAATATTAATTAAATGTGTGTATTTCTATCTGTATTTGCTGTAGTGACAGCAGATACCTTTAAATTCTTATTTTGGCAATTGAAGTCACCTGATCTTCCTTCATAGGGTAGAGCATTCAATACTTACCTGCCCAGTTTAACAAAAAAAAAAAAAAAAAAAAAAAAAAGAGCTAAAGTATGATGGAGCTATGATAAGGACAATGAGATGAGGGCAATCATTGAAGTTATCCAATTTTATCTAGAGAATTTCTGAGGAGCTGGCTCAACTAACACTGAAAAAAAAATGAGAGAGAATGGAAATTAGCTAACTATTGATAATACACATGGAAATGCAAGTTTTCATGTAAGCTACTAGGAAATGTAGTTTCTTAATAGTTGTGGCAATATTTCATGGTTTATCAACCTAATGAAACTTATCTCACTTATTTGTTAGCTCTAAGCAACTTAGTTTACAGTAATCATACAGTGGCTTGTCAAGTTGTTCTACACTGACTGAAAATCTGAGCTGTAATTTTCCCTCTATAGCACATTTATTGGAATGTAATTTATTCACAATAAATTTCTTCATTTTCAAAGCAAAACCTGAGCCTTTTAAGTGTATTCATATAAGCTATAGTGATCATAATTATTTAATCCCAGAATTGCCAGCATCCCAAAGAGAAAGTACACACCTATTTAACAGTCATTGAATCTTTTTCCCATAAAATACTAGCCAAAATTTTTCCAGTAGATTTTCAAATTCCAATCATTTATGCCATGTTCTATATATTCTTTATAATTGCTATCTTTCATATAGCATGATGTAATCAAGGCTCATCTACTGTGTAAATGGGTAACTAGTTGGCTTCTCTTTATGAATAAATCTTATTCTACTCTGGATGGACAGTATTTGTGTACATTCTTCAATGGAGTTGTTTCCACTTTTATTTTGTCTATTATGATGTTGGTATGAAAATGCTGAGGTTTTCACATGAGTTACTGCCTCTCTAGTATGCAAATCTGAGGTTGGATTTCAAGATCAGATGTCACCTCAATAATCACTTTTCTGAGGTCCCACAGTGTCATTTTAAAGTGATGGCAACATTTTATAGCTTCATCAGCTGTGATTTGCTTTCTTTTCAGACTCCAGAGGAACTAGAGGATGTTTCTGACCTTGAAGAAGATCATGAGGTCCGTAGCCATGCCAGCATTCAGACAGAAGGAAAAACTGACCGAGTAAGTCATTTACAGAGGAACATCTGTGGGCTCTGAGTAGTCCTGTCAATCCAGGAAGACTCTCGTACATACGAGGCATGGATCTGGGTCTGACTTTCTGAAGCACAGAGAGGAAGGCCTTAGACTATGGGTATAGCAAGCTAAGAAAATATTTTTAGAAATTACAGTGAGGGCTCTAATGTTTGGTAAGGAATCATTCCAAATGGCTTTTGATCATGTATAAATCATGTTAATATGAAAGTGAAATTCATGCATGCTTGTTTAGCATAGAGAATAGGATTCAGGAATTTGTAAACATACTCTGAAATAATAGTATACAAAAACCTCCTCCTGAGTCAGTAATAGGAACTTTTCTTCTTGTCTTTAGTGCTTTCTTTTGTACCTCCCTTAGAAAACACACACACACTAAAAAGTTTTTTTTTTCTTTTAGTTTTGTAGTAAGAATAGCCCATGCTTCTCTTTCATCTGAGTACATTGTTCTGAAAATAGATACAATTTTTATATAGCCAGAAAGTATTTGCTAATACATGGGGTAGAGACTCCTTTCTAAGATTCAGGTTTCTGCTGGCTACTTGGGTTGTCAATACTCTTGGAGTTAATTCATGCCAGGAACTGTCTAGAACATGTAGTATCTGTGTGATAACATCACCAGAAACAGTAACAAGACAGACCACTGACCATAAAATCTCTTGGGAGAAAAACTACAATTTACTTAATAGCTTTCTTCCTTTAGTTTTCCATTATGCATATTCCAAGTGACTCAGATGGCCTTCCCATCTTTGCCAGATCCTTCCTTCTATTATGATGCAACATTTCTGTAGGAAATGCTTAACCATTGTGAATCATATGTCTCTACCTCCAATCTTTTATGTTGAGTATTAACATTCTTCAGATTCACTCTTTACTAACACATCCTCTTTCATTTGTTGATTGGAAATTCTTAAGTATTGTTCAATGGGTCCCCTTTGGAAATGAGCTTAAATGTCTATAGTAATGCATAGCTTGATAATATTTCTTTGGATCAATCAACTATCATTTCTTTCCTGACTTATTGTCCTTCAGCTCCTGGGACTTTTGCAAAAATCCAGTGCCCAAATCAACTACCCTCGATTGCAGTGTTCTGCTTTGGTTGGTGTTCAGGTACAAGAAATAGTAACTTTGCATTCACTTTAGTTAAATCTCATATTTTGTAAAATGTTAACATTATCTCAGGTTTATTAAAATTAATGAGGCTCAGACTTACATAAGTGTCCTAGTTATTGTTAACTACAAAAAGACATCATGACTGAGGCAACTTTCATAAAGGCAAACATCTAATAGGGGGTTTGATTAAAGTTTCAGAGGGTTAGTCCATGATCATAATGGCAGGAAGAAGACAGGCATGTGCTGGAACACTACTGCAGAGCTTTACATCATGATCCATGGGTAAGATGAAGAGAGTGAGAAACTGGGTCTGGAATGAACTTTTGAAGCATCAAAGCCCACCTTTAGTGACACACTTCCTCCACTAGTGTCACACCTACCAACCCTTGTAGTCCTTATCAAACAATTCTCTTTGGTGATAGGCATTCAAATTTATGAGCCCATGGGAGCTATCTCATTCAAATCACATTCTACTCCCTGGCTCCAACATTATAATTCCTGGTGCTTCTTTTCTCCTCAAACTGTACATTTTATATTCATCTTTCCCCAACTTGTTTTTTATTATTGTAGATTTGCATAAGAGTAAATACAATAACTACATGATGTAAGACCCTCAGAATGAGGAGTCTTCCAGGTTCAGTCGATACCCCAAGAACTCAATGTCCAGTCCAGTTGCTGCAAAACGCAAGAGGCTTTAATGAACAAGAAACGTTTGCACAAACGGGCTCCTCCAGCACGCAGGCTAGAGAGAAGCCCCCTCCCCTGGGCCCAGGTGTTTTTAAACCCACAAGCTTAGGGAGGGGGTGGGACCCTCCATCCATTGAGTATGTGGCCCTTGGAGGCTGGATGGTCTGCTATTAGGGTCAGCAGACCTTAGGGCCTCAGGGTGTGCTAATTAATCTTGTCTGGCCAAACCAGAGTTACAGCTATCTCTACCAAGCACATTAATCCAAAATTCTTCTATTTAGCCCTGGTAAAATTTTTGGACAAAGAGAATAAACATCTATATGGGATGGGTTTTTTTTTTTTGGCCAAAATATAACAATATAATCTCTAATATTTTGTTGTTCTGAAATCTCTTGAACTGGGTTATCAAAATCCCAATCACCCTTAGCCCCTTAGCACTACTGCTGTCTTCCATGTTACTTCGAGGGTGGCCTATTGAGTCCATTTAGAGTATTTAATTGTTTTTGTGAACCAAAGCCCCCAAATTTCCATAATCCTCCAACAAACAGCATAGTCAGGTTTATTAAAGCAATACCTCCCTCCTGTTATCAAATTATGTCTTATCATTCTATTATTGTGAAGAGACATTTTAATAGAGACTTTTATTTTAAAAAGACATTTAATTGGGGTCTTGATTATAGTTTCTGAAGATTAGTCCATGAAAATCATAGCAAGAAGCAGGCAGGCATTGTTCTGGGGCAGTAGCTGAAAGTTTTATATATTGATCTGAAGGGAACATGAAGCAATCAAGAACCTATTCCTGATACAGGCTTTATAAATCTCAAAGCCCACACCCCCATTGACACACTTCCTCCCATAAGGGTACACTTTCTAATCCTTTCAAAGAGTTACAATCTCTGGTGACTAAATATTCAAATATATGATCCTCTGAATGCCATTCTCATTCAGACCGCTACATTAACTTTTTAAATAAGTGGAGAATATTTTCAGAATCAGACATTTGATTAATATTCATTTCAATGTTCTTAGGACTTAAAACTAGTAGGACAAATTCTATATTAATATAGAAATGAACTAGCAGCACCAGGAGAAAAACTGATGTATCATTAAGAGAATGAAGGAGACAGAAACTAACACAGAGTAACAAAGTTGTCTTAGTGGGGGCAAGCTATAATGAAATATAGTTGTTTGTAAACAATAAAAATGAAAGTAACTGTTTAAATATTATCTCATCATTTAAATAATGTAACTCTACATACATTTTTATGTATCTATTATTTCAAGGTTATTACAACAGACCTTGTTTATAAAATATGATATGAGAAACCAAAAAGAATAGCAATGGCCATCTCTAACTCAAATAATATGACCAGAACCCAAAATAGCTTCCTATTTCGCCTCAGGAGATAATGATGATATCTCCTTTACTCTCATGTCTAAGGTATTTTGGAGTATATTCAGAGTTTTTGTTTGTTTTTGTGTTGATTATACTGTGTCTTTAGATGCATTTCATAAACACCAATACTTTGGGGGTATACTATGAAATTTATTATAGACTTTTCTGAGAATCATTTGAACACTTACTCCATGCTATATATTGAATTCATGGTCTCTGTAAAGAAAAATGTCTAGATTCCTTTTGGTTCCTGGCATGATGGAGGATTCAACATTATTTTTTTTTTGCTTCTTATATTTTGCATACTATGTTATATTGGACATGCACTGGAAACAATTTCAGATACTACTTAGGCATTGATTGACAGTTATTTATTATCATTTTATTTTCTGTGTTTCACTGCTAGTAGCTTTGGCTCAGCATCATCTGTTATAGCTGTCATCAGCTGTAAATGCCATTGAGTATTGTAAAGATCTGTAACTAAAAATAATGATTCAGAGTCTGTAGACAATGAGAGACAAATATTAAATGACCAATAGTGCATGCCTTATGAAGTGGCAGTTGGAGAGGCAAGCAAACATGATTATTCCAATATTGAGCATGGGAATTCTCTGGACCAATGGTGTGATTATATCTTCTGAACAGGTTGCACAGTGGCACAGGAGCTTGATTGTATAATAAATTTGCAGAAGACTGTTCACAGAGGTTATTGTTTATTCTGTTCATTCTTTAATCAAATATAATAAAGGATCTTTTTATTGTAAAGTCTCAAAGTGAAAGAGGCATGAAAATAGATTTCTGTTTAGACTTACTTCCCAAAATTATTGAAGTAAAGTTTTTATGAGTCTCCCCCTTTATTAAGATTAAACTAAATCCATACTAATTTATATTTTCTATAAACACATCAGTTCTGAGTATTGAGTACCTCATTGCAATTTATGTAGCATCTCAAAAGTTTGTCTCTTTTTAACAAAAGACTTGGAGTTTGTGTTTAATATTATTCTCTCCTTAATTTGGAGAATGAAGATACAAAGAATTTCGATAATTTATGCCACTCATATTGATTGTAACAACATCAAGGTTTTATGCTCTCTCTCTCTCCCCCTCTCTCTCTCATTCATACACACACACACACACACACACACACACACACACACACACACACCTTCTAGAACAGCACATTTTTATTTAAATTTGAAGCAAGCTTGTTTTACATGTCAATCCCAGTTCCTGTCCCCTCCAGTCTCCCCCCCCCGACATACCCCTATCCTATCCCCTTTCTGCTCCCCAGGGACCAGACTACCATGGGGAGTCTTTAACGTCTGGGGCTGGGTCCTCCTTCATGTGTCTAGGCTGAGAGAGTATCCCTCTATGTGGAATGGGTTCCCAAAGCCCATTTGTATATGAGGGATAAACACTGATCCATTATCAGTTGCCCCATAGACTGCCAAGTCCTCCTAACTAACACCCTTGTTCAAAGAGTCTGGGTTGGTCCTATGCTGGTTTTCCAGCTGTCAGACTGGAGTCCATGAGCTCTGCCTTGAAGAACAGTTCATTTACTATACAGATCAATGCTCTGATGACTCAGTATAGAACTGATAGTACAACTGACCACTGGAAAAATAATTTATGAAACCAAAGATCATGCCATGAAATCATACCTGTTTGAATCTTACAAAATTCTGAATGTTCCAATTCTAGATCTTCTATCAATTGGAAAATCAGTTTGTTGATTCCCATTCAACATCTACCTGGTAAAGCCCAGTCACTCAGT